TCTAATCCAGTGGTTCTCAACCTTCTGGCCCTTTAAACACTGTTCCTCATGTTCTGACCCAACCGTAAAATTATTTTCGTTGCTACGTCATCACTGCAATGTTGCTGCCGCGATGAATCATCATGGAAACATCTGAGATGCAGAATGGTCTCAGGCGACCCCTGGGAAAGGGTCGTTGGACCGCCAACAGGGTCGCAACCCACAGGTTGAGAACGGCCGCCGTAGCATCATCCCGGCCGCGGTGGGAATTTTCCTGTGATGAACGCGCTCTCCTGTGATGAACGCGTCTCCGGTGATGAAAACGCCCCTTTGTCTCCGCTCCCGCCTTCACCGCACGTCTATTTCGGGAACGGCGGCTTTCTCGGAACAACGTCTCGCCTTGCCTTGGGGCCTCATGGGCCTCGTTTAGAAACATAATTTAGTTTTTTAAGGGGCGAGGGGAGGGGCAGGGGTATGGTTTATCCGCAGGGAACGGGCCGTGGGTTGGACGGCCAGGAGCGCGTTTCGTGGGGTGGGCAGGTGCTCGTAAAGGGCGTCCCGGAATTAACGCAAGGTTTGAATTCTGCGTGAGCATTAACAACACAAATAAAAGCCTGATTGGACCCAGTTGATTGAATCAGATTCTAATATCTGTGGCCCTTGGATGTCAATCAATCCCTTCGATTCGATCAGCATCACCCAGGACCCATGACGGCCCAGGAGCAGGGACCAGGAAGACCAATGAGGACCGCGGCTTTGGGTCTGGGCCAGCAAAGCCGGGGAGGCCGTGGACCCGATGGGCTATTCCGTATATAAACCCTAGACTGTGTCCTTTAGGAATCAATAAAAAAATTACAATTTTTTATGATAATCCTGGGTTTTCTATCAAAATGACTTCTTGCGTGAATTTTGGGACGCCCTTTATAAACGAACTCTGTTCCCGCCTGGGGGAGCAGGTGGGGTCTGGCTGCCTGAGACGATGATATAATTCATATTTAGTGGGGTTCTGGGCGGCGTGGACAAAAAATCGTCCACGTTCGAGCGCTGTTCTTAATTGGGCTCGAGGGCACCCCCCACCCCAGGCCTCCTCGTGCCAGCGCCAGGCCCGTCTGGGGGACCATGAATGGTCGGCCGTTGCCGCGGCGACTGGGAAGCTAATAGAGCCATCCATCATGATTCACGGGCCTCCTGGGCGTCATTTCGGCGTCGATATTCTGCCGCGGGTCCCAGCCTCTCACCGGGAAGCGCAGGCGCTTGGGATGCGTTTTTCCCAGGGTTCCCCCCCACCCCCAGGCACGAGGGGACCCCACTGACGGTGGGGATGTGGCGTGGGGAGGGCCCGTCACCTTAAGCGGCAGATGTTATGTTTATTGATTTCAGAGAGGAAGGGAGAGGGAGGGAGAGAGAGAGAGACATCCGTGATGAGAGAGAATCATGGATAGGCCGCCTCCTGCATGCCCCCCGCTGGGGATCGAGCCCGCACCCCGGGCACGTGCCCTTGACCGGGAATCGAACCCGGGACCCTTCAGTCTGCAGGCCGATGCTCTATCCATTGAGCCCACCAGCCCGGAGAGCTGCTATTTTTCTACAATATATTTTTATTGCTTTCAGGGAGGACGGGAGAGGGGGAGAGAAACATCAGTGATGAGAGCGAATCATGGACCGGCTGCCTCCTGCACGCCCCCCACTGGGAATCGAGCCCGCAACCCGGGCGTGTGCCCTGACCGGGGACCGAGCCGTGACCTCCACCACTGAGCCACACCAGCCACACGGGCCCCGTGATCTCCATGACACACTCGTCCTCCTGGGGTCCCCGCGGAGAACGTTTAGCTAAGGGCTGGGCCCAGCTTCCATAGCGAGACGGCGGGAGGCGGCCCTGTCTCCGTTCCTCTCATCCGAACCCACGTTCGGGCCCAGGGTGTGCCCTCGACGACACCGCTGTCCGAGGAGGAGAGAGGATTTGTTCGGAAACAGACGCACGGGGGCTGGGGGGTTGGGGGGGACGCACGCCTTCGCCGTCGTCGGGGATGGTGTCCTCTCTGAGATCTGGGTGGTCGGGGAGTCTTCTAGGGAACAGCAACAGGAAAGATACTGCTTGTTGTTGCATGTTATACAGAAGCTTAAGGGAAGATGAAACTATCATGCCTCACGGCTCCTCCCCTTCGCGTTGCAGGACGATGAGGCGCCTGCTGCTCCTGCTGCTGCTCCTGTGGGAGGCCCAGAGCCGAGCGCCCTCCAGGCCCAACTTTGTCCTGATCGTGGCGGACGACCTGGGCATCGGCGACCCCGGCTGCTACGGAAACAAGACCCTCAGGTAGGGCGCGTGTCTCGGCCGTCGTTCCGGTGACGGACACACGTTAGGGGAGCACAGAGCGCGTGGAAACGCTGAAAGCCCGCCCGTGGCACGCCGTGTGACTGCACGTGGATCCCGTGTGACTGCATGTGGATCCCGTGTGACTGTGTGAATCCCCTGTGTGACTGTGAATGGATCCTGTGTGACTGCGCGTGGGTCCCGTGTGACTGTGCGTGGATCCCGTGTGACTGTGTGTGGATCCCCTGTGTGACTGTGTGGATCCCGTGTGACTGCGCGTGGATCCCCGTGTGACTGCGCGTGGATCCCGTGTGACTGTGCGTGGATCCCGTGTGACTCTGAATGGATCCCGTGTGGCTGTGTGGATCCCGTGTGACCGTGTGTGGATCCTGTGTTACTGTGTGTGTATCCCGTGTTACTGTGTGTGGATCCCCCGTGTGACTGTGTGGATCCCCCGTGTGGCTGCACGTGGATCCCCTGTGACTGCGCGTGGATTGCGTGTGACTGTGTGTGGATCGCGTGTGACTGTGCATCCCTTCCGGCCGTAGGTCGATGCTCGACTGCTGAGCCACGCCGGGTGGGCGGGAGGTGACGCCTCATGACAGGCCGCGGGGAGAGCGGCGTTTCGAAAGGCATCGCGAATAGTAACGTGGCTCTTGTGTCCCAGGACTCCCAACATCGACAGGTTGGCCGAAGAGGGAGTGAAACTTACGCAGCACCTGGCGGCCTCGCCCCTGTGCACCCCGAGCCGGGCAGCCTTCATGACTGGCCGGTACCCCGTCCGATCAGGTAGCCCCCTGGCTGGGTCCCTGGGCCGTCCTCTCCTCTCCTCTCCTCTCCTCTCCTCTCCTCGGGGCACCCTCCCAGCCTCTGTCATCAGGGTCCCCCCCCCCCCCCCT